CCAGAGCCTTCTCTTCTCTGGGCTGAACAACCCCAGCTCTCTCAGCCTGGCCTCACAGCAGAGGGGTTCCAGCCCTCGGAGAATTTTTTGTGGCCTCCTCTGGCCCTGCTCCAACAGGTCCCTGTCTCTCCTGTGCTGAGGACTCCAGAGCTGGACCCAGCACTGCAGGGGGGTCTCACCAGAGCAGGGCAGAGGGGCAGAACCCCTCCCTCATGCTGTTGACCATGCTGCTCTGGGTGCAACCCAGGATGACATTGGCCTCTGGGCTGGGAGCACACGTTGCCAGGTCATGTCCAGCTTTTTGTCCACCAGTACCCCTAAGTCCTCCTCTGCAGGGCTGCTCTCCATTCCGTCATCCCCCAGCCTGGATTTATACTGTGCTTGCCCCAAACCAGGTTCAGGGTCTTGCGCTTGGCCTTGTTGAACCTTATGAGATTCATGTGCCTTTATCACAGGTTTCACATGAGGTTCACAAGTTTTTCATGAAAAGACGTGGATTTTGTCAGCTGAGTGCTTGATTAGGGAAAATTTAGAGTTGCAAAGCCACAGGCCATGTGCTGCAGGTGGGCCCCTTCTGCCCTCCAAAGTGTGGTCCACAAAGAAAGTAATTGCTAAATGGTTTCTGCAGGCATCACAGCTACTTTCAGCTGGGCTGGGGCTACACAAGCTGCCCAGGGCAGTGGTGGAGGTCCCCATTCTTGGAGGGACTGAAAAGCCATGTAGATGTTAGATGTGGTGCCTAGGGACATGGTTTAGTGGTGCCCTGGCAGTGCTGGGTTAATGGTTGGACTTGATGGTCTTAAAGGTCTCTTCCAATGAAAACAATTCTATGATCCTACACTGGCTGCTCAGGTGGGAAGGTGAAGTATAGCCCAAGGCACAGCCTAGGAGAGCTTTTGTCCTGCTCATCTCTCACCACGGTGCCCCAGTGAGAAGAAGCTCTGCTGCTGGGAGTGCACAGAGCTGCCCAAGGAGCACACTGAGCCCAGCATCACTTCTGTTGAGGTGTTTTATGGCCAAGGGAGTGTAACCTGGCTCTGGAGCACTGCTGGGAGGACAGGCAAGGGCAGTGATGGCAGAGGTCTGACCGGCTGACTCAGGGTTGAAGCTGGGTGCTCCACATGTGGTTCCTAAGTAGTTCTTGAAGAACTTTGCCTCTGCCCCATCTACTAGTGATGCATATTTTGTAAGAGCTTAAAATATGTCAGCAAGCCTTGGTCCTCATGCCTTTACTCACACTTCCCCAGCAAATTACATAATGCAATAACACGAGGGGGCCTGTGGAGGGTTTTTTTTGACTTCTTCTCAGGAAGACCCCCGAGATGATGAAGAGCAAGGAAATGGTTTTCAATGAAAAATAGTACTGAGCACATCCTAAAACCTCAGGCTCCCTTTGGTTCCCCAGTTACAAGCCTGTCCTTGGTGTCCCTTTGCATGCAGCTGGCTCCCATTGGCTTCCTACAGGAGGAGACTTTGACCTCCAGAAAAGCAGAACGAAATGCAACCATCTGAAGTGACACTGAAGGATGGGAATAACAACATGGTGAGCATGAAAACACCCTTCTGAGATGCCTTTTCTCATTCCTTTGAAGAATGGGAGACCCAGATAGTTTAATTATCTGAACTGTCACACTGGTAGGGTCAGGATAAGCCCAAAATTGGTACAAGGGGAGCTGGAGGAGGATGAGAGATCACCCCTGTGACAAGTGTTGTTGTTTTTTTTTTCTTGTGTTTCACAGAAAAAATATGATCTGAAAGACATAACCACTGCAAATGCTCAGAGCAGCTGTCCTTATGCTTTGGTATTTTTAATGTAGCATTCAGGCAATTTCAAAGCTGCAATGAAACCCCTCCTTCTAGTAACAGTGAGTCTCTTGTTCCCCTTTCACCAAGTTGATCTGGTAGGCAAACCTGTTTCTTCTATGATAATGTCCAAAAGGAAGTGGGTAACAGAGATGGTGACATGTCCTACTGGAGATGCTTGGAATCCAGCACAAATGCAGATTGCCAAGAGACAGGTAAGAAATAGGTAGAAATGCCCCAATTCCAGCTACAATGCATCAGTTATTTTTTCAGTTTGTACGAGAGAGGTATGCAAGAGTTTGTCATCATCTCTGGAGAGAAAAGACCCCCCAAAAAAGACTGATCTGGGCACTCGAAAGCATTACACATGAGGAAAGACTAAGCAGATTGATCTTATTTGGGATGAGCTCTACAATACAGGAGTGGAGGAGACTGTGTCCACTTCCTTCCTCAGAGCTCCCTTCTCCCTGAGTTTTTGTCTCCTCCCTAAACGGTGGCAGGGAGCAAGGCAGGAGCTCACGGGAACTCTGGCCAAGTGATGGATGACTCAGAGCTCAGGGCTTGGCCAGAGCTCCAGCTCTGGGCAGTGGGAGGGCAGCAGCTTCTTCTGGCTGTTAGAAAAGCAGGATGTGACTGATAAGGTGCCGTTGCCATAAGCTCCAGCCAGAGCTGGAGGCAGTGGTGAGAGGTTTGCACGTGAGGCTCGGAAGGGCTGACCTTTCCTAGCAGAGCTCTGCACACACCAGCCCTCTTCGAGTAGGCCCAATCTGCATGTATTTTTCATTGAAGGCTCCCTTCTTATAATAGGAAGGGAAACATGTTCTGCAAAATGGAATCATTTAGGAATTTTTTTCTTTCTCGCCCATTTTTCTCTGTTCTAGAAACTTGTGCCACACTGCTCAAAGGATTTTAAAGTCTCTAGTCGCTGCCTGAGCACGTGCAAATGGCCACTCTTGCTGGGGATGTGAGGTTCAAGACCAAGAGCTGAGGTCATCCTCCACCAGCCCTAACTGCTGTGAGAAGGTGTCAAGCTGGAGGTGACTCCCATGGGGAGCTCCTTTCCATCTCAGGGGTGGTCCTATCCCTGTGCTTCACTGCTGGAGCTCGTCGCTGCCACACCAGTGAGTTTTGGCTGTGCCAGGAGCACTCAGTGTCCTCTACCATGTGCCTGCTGGGGTGCTTCTGGTATTTGTATCAGCCACAAAATCAAGCAAGGCAGGATTTGGAGGAAAGAGGCATTTTTTTTTTTTTTATTAAAACTAGCTTTACTTTTTACCTTCCTGTCATTCAGTTACCATAAAAGTTGCCTTCTTGCAGGTCTTGCACTACTACCCTGGCCCCCACATCGGTGCAAGGCTTTTAGCACTATGTTTTGTAAATGTTTCTAAATTATAGAAATAGAATCATTTAGGTTGGGAAAGACCTTTAAGATCATTGAATCCAGCCATTAACCCAGCACTGCCAGGGTACCACTAAACCATGTCCCTCAGATACCACACCTACACAGCTTTTCAATTCCCCCAGGGATGGAGACTCCACCACTGCCCTGGACAGCCTGGTCCAAGCCTTGACAACCCTTTCAGGGAAGAAATTTTTCCTCATGTCCAACCTAAACCTCCCCTGGTGCAACTTGAGGCCTTCCTCTGGCCCTACCACTTGTTCCTTGGGAGGAGAGACTGACCCCTGTCTTGCTCCAGCCTCCTTTCAGGGAGTTGTAGAGAGTGATAACTAGTCCTGGTTTGGAACATGTTGTGTTGTTTAAATATTTCACTGAAATAATCCCAGATTTTCTAGTTGGATGAAGCAGCACACCTATCGCCATTAGGTACAGGCACAAAGTATTGCTAGGAAGAAAACCTATCAAGAAAAATAACGTAGGGGAGGTTTTAGGGATTGTTTTTTACTGTTCATCCTGGAACAGCAGCCTGCTAAACACAGTCAATTAGTTAACTCCAAGACGTTTCAAACACCAAGTAAATATTCAGTGACGACTTATTGTCTGGTCTTTATTATTATTACAAAAAAAAAAAAAAAAGCAGATATCAAAAACCAGCAAAGATTTCACAAGTTCCCCAACAGTTTTACACATCTGAACTGTGGTAAAATGGTGAATGTAAAACACGTATTTCAGTCCTGGCCCTAAACCTTCAACGGCGATCTGTGGTCTGGGGTGCCCCGGGCTTTCCTAATTCTTGTTTCAAGTACTCCTCTGTATTTTGGAACCCGATTTGCTCACCAGCTATCACACTGTGGCACAGCACAACAGGGACTGGAAACGTCTGGCGTCCTTCAAGACCCCAGAAAACAAAATACAGGAGCTCTGCAAGGATGGTGTGGACACCAGTACGTGTTTCTCAGATCACCCTGGGTTGCCACTTTGTTGTGCTTAACAAAATCAAATCACTTTCAAGTTGCTGAAAGGTGATGTGCTGTGTGAAAGCTGCTTTTTCTTCTCCTCAGGATCTTCGCTCTCACTGGGCTGGGTTCCAGCGTAAATGGACCATCAGCATTTCAATTCTACCGTCCCAACTGCACGACGGACTTCACCACGTTATGACTTCCCCACTGCGGGCCCAGCATCTGACTGATCACAAGGAACTGGAGCAGGCCGGAGAGATGTGAGGGTAAGGAAAACGAGCTCTCTGGAATGGTACTTGGGGTCGGACGGCAGCCTTTATTTGCTGTCCTGTTCCCGGCTGTAGGTTCAGAGGTTGACCAAAGGAACCGTGGTCCAGTTACCTATATTAATAGCTGCCCCACTTCTCAAATATAGATCTTATAGCAAAACACTGCTTGGCTAGCAAAAAGAATTAAGACATTGCCCTACGTCCCTCAGCATGTGCTCGGAAAGTCAGGTCCAAATCTGACGCGATTATACACAAATGCAAATCACCCTAAACGTGATGTTGTACATGTCACTACGCTATACGTGTCACTGAAATGTTGGCGAGTACCAAATATTCCTGTTAGAAATAAAATTGCACCTTCATAGTTTTCCAGAATTTAAGAAAAAACAAAACAAAACAAAACCGAAACCAAGAGAGATCACGATATGCATTATTGGTCAGGGATGAAAGCAGCGGCGAGAAGGCAAGCTGAGAGACAGGCGCTGCCCAGGGGCAGCAACGGCATTGGGTGGTGGGGGTTGCAGCAGCGCTCCCCACGCCGCGGAGGGCAGGCGGCCCCTCGCCGCGGCTTCAAACCGTCTTCCTGGCAGTCAGAACGCGGACAATGGACCCGACTCCTCCGGCGGCCAGGGCCTGGGGAGCGAAACGCCGAAGTTAGCAGCAGGGCACGGGAGCTCCAGGCTCAAACAGCTGCTGGTCAGAAAGGCTGCCCGGCTCTGTTTCAAATTAGCACCTCCCCGCCCTCTACAGTAAAAATGAAACTCTCACACTCAGGGTGCCAGGAGAGGATGGGTGATGTTTGCTTTGAAGACAGTTACTTAGAATCATACGATGCTTTGGGTTGGAAGGGGACCTATCAAGGTCATCTAGTCCAATCCCCTGCACTGAGCAGGGACATCTACAACTACAGCAGGTTGCTCAGAGACCTGTCCCACCTGACCTGGAATGGTCCCAGGGATGGGGCATCTACCACCTCTCTGGACAACCTGGCACAGGGGTCTCACCACCCTCAGCGTAAAAAATTTCTTCCTTCTACCCAGTCTGAATCTCCCTTCTTTTAGTTTAAAACCATCACCCCTTGTCCTGTCACAATAGACTAAAAAGACTGTCCCCATCTTTCTTAGAGGCCCCCTTGAAGTACTGAAAGGTTGCAATAAGGTCCCTCCCCAGAGCCTTCTCTTCTCCAGGCTGAACACCCCCAACTCTCTCAGCTTGGCCTCACAGAAGAGGGGTTCCAGCTCCACATTGTTGTGGTCTCCTCTGTCCCTGCTTCAACAGGTTCATGTCTCTCCTGTGCTGTGGACTCCAGAGCTGGACCCAGCACTGCAGGTGGGGTCTCACCAGAGCAGAGAAGGGCAGAATCCCCTCCCTTGACCTGCTGGCCACACTACTGCTTTGGATGCAGCCCAGGATGCCACTGGTTTCTGGGCTGCATGTGCACATTTCTGGCTCATGCCCAGCTCTTCACCCACCAGTACCCCCAAGTTCTTCTCCACAGGGCTACTCTCCATCCCTTCATCCCCCAGCCTTTACTTACACTGGGGACTGCCCTGACCCAGGTGCATGACCTTGTATTTGGCCTGGTTTAACCTCCAGAGGTTCACAAAGCCCACTTCTCAAGCTTGTCAAGCTTTTATTTCTCTGCATAACCGAGTTGCAAATTTTCCTTCCTTCTAGGAAGGAAATTCTACTTCCATCTGCTTCAATCACTGGATTGAACTGTTGTTTGCTGCATTCTAACACAGAACCAAATTTTAACTGTAGGATCTTTACCCAAGGACTCAGAAGAAGCAGGCAGATGTGCTTGCTGGACCACACCCTCCTGACAGTGTGAAATAAGGCACTTCAGTTTTACCAGAGAGCAAGGTGGTTCTTGGTGGGCTCGGTGAGTGTGCCTCGGACCCAAGAACCTGCTCCCATGGACAAGCCTGGCACGAGCATGCCTTGTAAACACACCTTCTCGTGCCACTGCAGCAGCACAGCACTGCTGTTGTCAGAGGGGCTCTCGAAGCCTTTGTAGATGTACTTCATGAGCAGGTCGACCCCGTTCTTGTCGAGTGACTGCACGGCCTTCTCGATGTCGTTGGCTTTGAAAGAGATGAGGACCTTCAGGACGATGCTTTCTGCGCGATCCTGTCAGCAAATAAGGCAGAGACCTCAGATAAGGTGCGTTCAAATATTACAGAATCCCAACATGGTGGGGGTTGGAAGGGCCCTTTGGAGATCATCTCATCCAACCCCCCGATACAGCAGGGTTACCCAGAGCCAGTTGCCCAGGATCACATCCAGGCAGGTTTGGAATCTCTCCTGAGAAGGTGACTCCACAACCTCTCTGGGCAGCCTGCTGCAGGGCTTGGGCACCTTCACAGGAAGAAGTTTTTCCTCAGCTTCAGACAGAACTGCCCATGTTCCAGTTTGTGCCCATTGCCCCTTATTCTGTCACTGGGCATCCCTGAAAAGAGTCTGGCCCCATCCATCTCTGTAGCCTCCGCTGGACAACCTCCAGTAGCTCCTTGTCTCTCTTGAACTGGGGAGCCCAGAACTGGACCAAAAACCCCAGATGTGGCCTCACAAGAGCAGAGTAGATGGGGAGAAGGATCTCCCTCAACCTGCTGGCCACACTCTTCTTCATGTATCCCAGGAGACCACTGGCCACAAGGGCACACTTCTGGCTCATGGGAAACTTATTCTCCACCAGGACTCCCAGGTTGTTCTCTGTGCTCTTTCTGGCAGGTGAACCCCTACCATGTACTGGTGCAGGGGGTTGTTGCTCCCCAGGTGTGGAACCCTACACTTGCCCTGTTGAAGCTCATGAGGCTCCCCTCCGCCCAACTCTCCAGCCTGTCCCAGTCTCCCTGAATTACTCATCTCTCCAACAAACAAAACTAGATCTTTTTTTAAACCATTCTAAAATCTGTTTGAATAGGGCAGGTTGTGCACAGAGTTTGTGATAATGTGTAACAGACACATCCTCCTAATGCTAAACAGCGTAAAGGTGTTTAACGCATTCGTCCTGCTCCAGGCTTTCTGCCTCACTGCTCATGTTTCCAGTTCTCCCACCTATTAACTGAGGTTACAGCTAAAGAACAACTGCATATTGAGATGCAAGTTCTGGCAAATTCCAAGAGATTCCTCAGAATTAAGTGCTTGTCTGGCCTCCCTTGTCACCGGAGCCTTTTCCATGCTTTTGTACTGTATAATGAGATACAACCATTACGTTCCATGGCAACGCCTTTGGCTAGCCTGGAAAAGGTGACTGCTGGAAGCCACATGTTCTCAGAACAGTCAGCTTGTGTCCCAGGCACACAGGATGCAGTGGTGGCATCAATATTTTGCATGAAAAACCATTTACAAGTTGATCTAGATGTCATTTCAGGCCCAGGAATGTGTGTGGCATGATTACAGCAGCAATTAGCTATGTAATCAGCAAAAAGCAGCTCTTCCTGTTCAACCATCACTAACTGCGGGAAGATAAAAGAAAGAGGTGTCAGGTTTGTGGGACTTCTGAATAACTCCATGATACAAATAGCAGAATTTTCTTCAGAAATTATAGATGTCAGTTTTCTTGTTCAATTTAATATCCCAAAGCCACCTGGCTTAGTGAGACCTGGCATGAAGAACTATAAGTAAAAACAGAAGTTCCACGTGATCAACTAAAAATGATGCCACACATTAAAACTCAGTTACCCTGCCCCCTTCAATTCCATTGCCTTCAAAGTGCATCCTCAAATACATCAATACGGATCTAATGAAAACAAGTTGTTAACACGAGGACAAACTGTTCAGTCATTTACACAGTACTATCTGGAACAAACAGCTGGATCTCAAAACTCTAAAAGCCCTCAGGAAAGAGCTGGGGCTAGGTTAAAAAAATCTCTCCTGGCAGCACAGAAACATGCCCATGGGACTCTGCTCAAGCAGGGAGAACAGATCTCTGCAGGTGCTCACCATCTGGGCAGTTCCTCGTCTTATCTGCCTGTTCCTCCTGCCACTGCAATCATGAGCCATTCAAGATTTATTCGGGGGAGATTCAGAAATACATGCACGCAGCAGGCTCCTGTGTTCTGTCACAGGGGGAGTGCTTGCGTGTTCTGAGCTTCATTTTGATTGGAGGCAATAACCATCAGTTCTTCCTTTTTTGTAGGTTCACGGTCTGGCCGTGCTAGCAGGGTTTCCTCACTCAGCAGTGACGACTGCCACCAGGGTTCCTTGATCCTTCAGTGCTGACTACACCCGTGTGCTGCCAGCTCTGGATCAGACACGGGCACCTGGTGACGTGTGGAGTCACCCAGGGCACACAACATACAACCAGCGCGGGCAGGAGAACACACAAAACCTGATCTAGCACCAAGTTAAAGGTATGTGGGCAGATGACATCCCACCTACGGTATTTTGAATGAGATTAAAACACCAGAGGTCACGGATGTTTCGACACTGGGGAATACCCTAAAACCAGCTTCCCTGGCTTTCTGGAAGTACACCTGGCAGGGTCAGTGTGGGAAGGCTTGTACAGACACAAAAGGATTTTTAAAGGAGGCTCAAGGGTTAAGGCTGTTAAAAATAATGACTACTGAATGAAGAATTGGCTCTGCTCTAGCTCAAACCAGAACAAGGAGTAACCCGTGAGTGAGTCAGTTGCTATTCACCTTCACTGCCTGGTTCTTTGTGTTGATAGGAGGGTTCTTCAGAGCCGCCTGTAGCGCAGCCATCATGTTCCCTGTGCCAGCAGGTTAAGGACCAGACACCAAGTGTTTGGAAAGTGACAGAACCAACTCCAGGGCAGCGATACTTGCAGCTGGCCCGGGCGTGACCAAAAGTACCTCGGGTTCAGTGGATGCAGGCTCCCCATACCAGCCAGCACCACTTACAGTGTAAGGCAGAGAGGGCCATTTGAGGAAGGAGCAGCACCACCAGGAAGCTGTACGTTTCCAGTACTCAGAATAAGCACTCTTCAGGCCCTTCGCTGAATGAGGATCCGTGTAAAAGAAACGGTTCTCCATCACTTCTGCTATTTCTAGCTCTCGGGAACAAGCC